TCTCTCCCATTCTTACTCACTTTTCCCTCATACACTACAAATTTTATTTGTTTGGTATGTTGAATAACATTAAAGATTCAGACTATTGAGATTTCATTTTCAACTGAATGTACCTTGACTTCAGTGTGTACTGGTCATGTATTATTATAAGTGAAAGTTGACTCAGTGTTATCCTATGTATAGTGTATTCTTTATATATAACATGACAGCACTATCGATCGTTGCGTTAATAATTTGTTTGTTTTACATAACGACTTATACTTAGTCTTCTTGTATCGAATGTATAGGCAGAAAGACAGGGAACCAGCTTCATGTCAGGTAGTTTTATTTAAAACTTGCTATGTATTCAGGTCAACCTACTTAGTCTTAAACAAATTGTAGACTGAATTGTCTGTATCTTTTTTTACAGTGATCGTTGTTTAATCAACTCAAACTGTATAGTGTTCTGACACAAAGTAGGTTTAGACTTTGAAAAATCGATGAAATTCATCATCTATCTGTTTTGAGTAAGAATACCTACTCCATCAACTTCATTGAAAAATGTTGAGCAATCTGACGTACTGTCAAAAAGTTAACTTAAAAATAAATCGTCTTACCATATGTGATAAGTTCTTCAGAAACTTACAAGAACTCTGAAGCCCTTTGGAACCAACGACGCTTACAAACCAACACAATCACTTTGTTACATTTTACGTAGACTGAAAAAACAATAACATAATAAGACAAATCCAACATCTACCAAATATATTGCCCTAACTGCGAAAAATGTTACACTGAAAAAAAGACACTACGCTTCACCTACGCATACATAAACACACATTAGCAGTGAGGCAACATGATGTGTTATTAATGATACTATTGAAGGTGGACAATGATAGGCATGAATTCGATTGAAGGGGTGCTGTAATTGTGAATCGGAACAAAACTTTGGTAATGCCATTGAATTTCTAGAGGCCTGTCATTAAAACCAATTAGCAATCTATAGACACTTTGACATAGTTTCAATTTACCAGCCTATATGGAAGGTCAGTCAACCATACGGTCAGAAGTAAACCAGTAAATCCAATTGATGTGAATGCAAGAACATGTTAAGCCACAGCCAATCGACCAATTAATATATAACATTTGTGGCATAACTGTGGAGTAACTCACTTGTACTCAAAGTGAGCTTTGCTACTGTTTTTCAAAACGATAATGGAGGCTCCACAATTAAACGATTTAGCTCAGAAAATACAATACCACCAAAATTTTGTCTTCATTTAACTATTGAACATTTAATGACCTTGGTAATAAATACCATTAACACAGCTTTTATCCGTATGTAGACTTCCAAACTAAATTGTTTTCGAATTTAATGGGGAGTGAGAAAATTAATCAATCAAATATATATGTGTGGGCTTTTCTTTTTTTCTTAGCTTTTATTACCGGAAAATGTGAAATATCAACAGTTGGCACTATGTGATCAAGTCGAATTTCCTTTATCTGCTAAGCCGCCGGAAGATATACTGAACGTGAAGCGGGTTAAAATTAGCTCTTTAGATGAAGTAAGTTGTGAGAGTCAATTATCATTACTATAATATCACCATTATTGTTATTGTATATGTCTGTGTGTGTGTGAAACCTAGGTTCAAAACACAATGATTTATCTAAACAACGGTTCTATCATTAAAAATATATTTACAAGTTGTTTACAAGACTCAACTTGTAGGGTATCAACGGTAGTTAATATGTGTGTAAGTCTTGAGACAGAAAGGTTTCCTATAATGGTAACATAAAGATCATTTACAACATTCCATAGCACAAATGAAAGTTGGGCGAGACTCTAATTTAGGGACGACCTTTGAACGAATCTTAAATGACCTTGACAATTATTAGCTAATCAGAAGACAGTTAGTATAAAGTAAAAATATATTATAAGAAAGTAGTGAATTACTATGGATATTTTTCTTTTACATGATTTAAAAACTTGTTAAGGTTTGATAAAGGTTCAGAGTATCTGAATTCATAATGCATACGGTATAGAAACTCGGCCATAGGGTTAGGGTTAGGATTAGATTAGGGTTAGAGCTAGGGTAGTGAGATTCTAATTTAGGGACAAGCCAAAAAGAAGCGTTTTTAGCAATTTCAACGTCACGGAGCCAAGTTCAACACGTGATGCTAACGTGCGATCGGTTTACATCGGATTTTCGAGCAGGTGTTTATTGAGAGGGTACAACCCTAACCCCTAACCCTATGGACGAGTTTCTATACCGTATGCATTATGAATCCAGATCCTCTGAACCTTTATCAAACCTTAACAAGTTTTTAAACCATGTAAAAGAAGAATATCCACTGTAATTCATTACTTTCTTATAATATATTTTTACTTTATACTAACTGTCTTCTGATTGGCTAATAATTGAAATTGCTCATACGCTTATGATCGGCTCGTCCGTAAATTAGAGTCTCGCCGAAAGTTGTTATCCGTGCTTTGTGTCAATAATGACTACGAAAAATCAGAATAGAAACCAAGACCACATAAAATGGGAGCTGTCGCGCTGAAGCAGAGTGTTATGATTTTAGGTTGCTGTCGATTTTTACCCTGTGCTAATTGTTGTGTCCTTGACTGGGAAACTAGAGAGCAGCGTACTTATCGATCGACTACAGTGACACGTAAACACGAACGAACGGCCTACAGTTCTGATTGGTCCTGCTTCCCTGTCCAGCCCAGCCAGTTGAGTCCAGAACACAAGCCACAGCCTCTGAGATATGAATCATTATATTTCAAACATACTTTGTTTATATACCAATCAAGCACACCACATCGTACCATAAAATAGAAAACAACATTTTGTACAATATTCACAAGTGAACAGATATCGACCAATAGAAAATGTCCATTTAAAGTCCAAGGACACCATTGGACTTAACATGATAATTATTGGTCTATTCCTCCGCATCCACAACACAGAGATTCAAGGGATTTAAAAAACTGGGGACAACTTTGAAAAGGCTTGAGGGAACGTAATTACACTAATAAATACAGATATCATACAACAGAGGAAATGAGTTCGAAAATTATCATAAACGAAACTGGTTACTGAATATGAGCAAGTAGTATAAAGCAATACACAAAAATGAGTTCAGCCAGTGGAAAAAAGGGGGAGGGGATGCAAACAAACTTAACACTGGCAATGCGGTGTAGATAGTTTTTAAATCCCCTTCATTTTGAATTTTTATAACGTAGAACAACTTTGGCCAGGCAAATTTTAAAGACTGAGAAGCACTGGATAGTATGGGGCTCCTCAACGATGCTCATACACGATGCTAACAGGAATCGGACCCAAGACATTTAGGTCATTCAGCGAGCGCCTAATTTCAATTCCAATAAATTAGCATTCAGTGGTTTAAATTTCCAATTCCAATCAATCCACGATATTACGTCATTATTAGCCTCATTCCTTGCCATATTCATCTCATTCGCATGAAATATTTATCCATTGCTTCTTGGTCTTCATTGGTGTTTAACCAAAGTTAGTCCACACTGCAAAACTTAAGATTCTATTGTCTTCATAATACCCTTCATTTTGTTTAACATTTTGTCATAATTTCGGTACGAGCCATGTTATCACAATCAGTTTACGAAATTAAACGCAATTGTGCCAGACAATGACAATCAATTTGATCTCCAGTTTGAGACAATTGATTGACATTTTGCAAATGAACAATTTGATTGTGTGGTTCTCAGATTTTGCTAAACGTTTCTGTAACTTCGTGTCCAAATACATTTGGTTGTCTCCGCCTATGTTCCTGTTCACTACAATGTAAACAACAAAATAGAGTTGATAACGTTACAACTTATTTGTTCGATCATCTCTCTTTTAACTATTCAGTATTTTATTGTTAATTATATAGATTGGTCAAATGGTATTTCATGGAATGAAAGAATTAAATTTAATCCAGTCAGTCGTCTATCCACTTGCTTATCATACATCAGAAAATCTTTTAATCTCAGCTCCAACTGGTGCGGGTAAAACAAATGTTGCACTGCTTACTATTGTTCAATTACTTCGTACTTATATGAAAGAGGATAATGTTTTAGACTTGAAAGCGTTTAAAGTAAGTAGCTTCTATCATTTTAATTGTTGCATTTCAATTTTGGTTATTTAAACTACTAATTTTGTTACGTTATTAACGATACGGGTTTTCAGCTGCAGAAATGTATAACATGTCTGAATCTGTTAGGCGGTTGGAAGGACACCCTTCATGAAATAGGCTTCTTGCTTGCTGGAAATCGTCAACAGTATGTCTTAAGGGAACTGGTGTCTGGACCGAATAGCTCAGCGATAATATTTGAGACTGTGAAGCTCGGTGACTGAGATTAAAATCCCATAAGAGTCATCAGTTTTCTCAACAGTGCGAGTATGCATGCTAACAATTACTAATCAGTACGAAACATAAGTTTAAGATTTCCAACTATCTACCTCCAACCACCTAATATCAAAACATAGTGTAGGGGATGTCAAGTTATTCAGACTAGACTGCAATTTAATCAACAGAATTTGATTAACAGTTAAGGACTAGGCAAACTTGACATCTCTTACTAAATAGTCAGGGATCAATTACAAATATACTGGATCTCGAAATAGGAGTCCCTAAATGCCCTGGTACAGCCGAGAGTGGGGAGAGTCAGCTCGCCTTGTCAAAATGATCTCACATAGCCACGCGCCAACAACCACTGCCAGGGACATCCTACTCACTGTCTTCTCATGGCGGCGGTGTTGTTTAAGAAATCGATAGGACAAAAAGCGAATGTCCGACTCTTTAACAGTATCACAGCCCTCACACAAATCAAATGATTTATATGGTGCATATATATTTGGTGCCTCTTTGCACCAATGTTGCCATGTGAGACCGTTTCGAGAGGGAAAGCTGTGTTCCCTGACCCTCGACCGTATCAGAGCATTTGTTAGAAATCCGTTGGGAATTTCCCAAACAATTTTAGAAAGACGATGGACTATGTATTGAAAAGAGCAAGAACAAGCACACCATGTATGAATATCAGATTTTGGGTACCTCCCGTCACAACATACAGAACCTAGTTTATTTTAACAAACATCAAATGTATGAACATTTATAAAAGATGATTACTGGTTTAAATAGTTATTCTATGTTGTCTAATGGTAGAATTGTTAAATTTAATTCTCCATCTTACTTCGGAACCACCATTCTCTCATTTTTCAGCAGTTTATGCTGAACTCGTATTTTTTCAACTTCATATTTCGGGGTCAACTTTACAGACAGAAAGAGGGTATAGCATTGGGCTCACCAGTTTCTCCGATTGTAGCGAATTTATTCATGCATTACCTAGAAAGTAGTGCAATCGCAAAGAGTTTATGTCCACCAAGGTTATGGTTAAGGTATGTAGACGATATTTTTATTATCAATAAACGGGATGGTATGGAAGAACTATTTAACAATGCAAACAGCATTTCTGAAAACATTAAACTAACTAAGGAATTAGAATCAGTTGACCACAAACTAGCATTTCTAGATTGTTTGGTTGAACGTCGACACAATAATAAGAAGTTAAAAATAAATGTTTATAGAAAATCAACACATTCCGAGAGATACTTGGATTTTAATTCAGCCCATTCACAGAGCACGAAAATTAATGTAGTGAAAAATCTAATGAACAGAAGTACTAAGATTGTTACAGACAAGGAAGACCAAAGAACCGAATTAAATAAAGTATTATCTACTCTTAGGGATAACAACTACCCAAAAAAGTTTTTAAAGAAGATTATTAAAAATGAAAGAAAACCTAAACTAGAAAGTATACGAAAAGAATGGAAGTACACCGTAGTCATACCTTACCGTAGTGAAACATCAGAAGAAATCAAACGGATTCTAAACAAACATGATATAAGAGTGTATTTTAGAGCAAATAACACATTAAGATCGACATTAGTGAAAGTTAAGGACAAATTAGCAAAGGAAGAACAACAGAACATTGTGTATGAGATTCGCTGTCATGACTGTAATGCTACCTATGTTGGAGAAACATCCAGGCAACTGAATGTAAGGTTGAAGGAACACAAACAATGCTTGAAAATGTTCCAAAATCCTCGGTCGATTTAAAGAAACTTGAAAATAAGTCAGCGATAGCGTTACATGCGTTAGAAACAGGGCACAAGATTAATTTCGAAGGGACCAAAATACTTCAGAAAGGTTTTAACACCCATAAAGAAAGATTGACAGCAGAAGCGCTGCATATATAGGCGAACAAGAACAGCCTGAACCGAAAAGATGGTATTCAACTGGCAACTACATGGCAAATTTCGTTTGACAAGTAAATTTGGAACCTATCTCTTGTTTAAACCTGTTTTTTAATATCACATGCATCGTTATTATTTTTGGAATGAATTCAATGAGTTTTTGATACAATACAATTTATGTTTTGACATGTACATCGATGTTTCATTATCAAAAAAATTTTTTCCACCTTGAACTTGAACTTTATTTATTTATTTATTCCTTCATATCAATCTCTTACACATACATACATACCTGCACACTCACACACATACGATTTGTTACTCAGTTAATTATTTCTATGTAGTTGAATTCTTCACATGATTTGTAGTTAACTGACTCATTTGATCCTATTTTACAAAAAATCAACATCCAAATATGATTGGTTTAACACAGTATAATCCTGATTGTTAAAAAGCTATATATTTCTTTGATAATTTTGATTTTGATTATTACTCTGAAGAAGTCCAGACAAGTTAGCTGGACGAAACGTTGGAATTAGTTATATTTCAATCACTGAGAATATTTTAAATATAATTTTCACATATAATGAATTAAGCTTTTTCGTTACATGTTTATATTCAAAGGTGATGAATAATTGAACGGATAATTGTTTTTCATAACTTCGACGTTAGGTTCTACATTTACTAGTCCATAATTATTATGTTACAAAGGTTAAAATAAGGCATGGATAAGTGAATTATACAATATTATTTGTTAAAAAAGGTTGTCGTGGACCAAGCTAAACACAGCGGCTAAATATACCTTTTTTTGGAATAAGAAGTTGAATCTTCCAAAGTTGATCCCGTTGGTTTTTACCATTTAGAGTTGTAATTTTACTCCTTGAGTGAAATTGCTTGGAACGTGATAGAAAGCAGAGTAAGGTTCGTTCGTTTTAATATGATATAACAAGTGAGAAAGAATCGTGTTGTTTATACACATTTCGTGACATATTTTCCAAATCCTTTCAGTACTTATTCACGACAACTTAAAAATGAAACCTGAGTACGGCCTATGTAACTAATTCCACAGAATCAGTTGACTTGGTATCCGCATATGGAGGAGTTCATCATCGGTAATCTGTCATCGATTCGTTGTGTAAATACTGGTTTGATTGAGAAAATCATATGGAACTTGGCAGAGTTGAATGTCTTTTCAATAGATTGTCCAGGTTAACGTGTTCATAAATTGCCATCCGCTATGTCTCCTTTTAAGTCGGCTTCTAAATCAATGGTTATTTCACTGACAATGTCGGACTTTTTCATTATTTTTATGAAATTGATTATGTAACTAACCATTCTAACCTTTTGTAAATAACCTTTCTAATTTATAAATGACACCTTTCTGAAGTATTTAATCTATGATTATCATTGTTTTAACATATAATGTTGCTTAATTCACTAGCATATCTTATGTTGTCCTTTGTAATATAACACAATAATTATAAACTTGCAAGTGTAAAGCATGGTGACGAATTTATTGTAAACAATTTTCCACTCAAATACTCTTTGTTTTTGAATATATTTTGGAGATTTGTATACTACTGATATGTATATATAGTAATGTGAATATATTTCAGATTGTTTATTTAGCTCCAATGAAAGCGTTGGCAGCTGAAATGGCGGATACATTTTCAAAACGTCTTAGTCCTTTAGGAGTACGTGTTAGAGAATGTACTGGTGATATGCACTTAAGTAAACAAGAGTTACTTGAAACTCAGGTAGGTATTTTGTTTCCTACGTATATTGTTTGTTTTCTTTTTTCGAGAAGTCGGTTTAATTTTTGTAAAATCTTGTATAAATTTTATGCAGTCTGAATTTAATTGTTTACAAAAATGAACTACCTTGATATTTTAGTGAGGCTGGATAGGGGCTATCAGTGGAATTTACGATGTTTATTTACCTTGTTTAGGACTCATAAGGAAAGTATAAGTAAGTCATTATATGCGAAAATTAGAACTCATCAAATGGGTTTACCATTATCTCTGTGTCAATGGTTTACACTGAGAGTCTGAAAATGTTTGTTATGACTTATAACCCTGTCTAATATCATGTGGCGAAAACAGCAGTCGGAATCGTCTTCAGTACTAATAACCTTGAGTCAACGGATTAGTTCTTATTGGTCCTCGATGTGATAGAATTTCTCCCTGTCGTGGCCGTTGAGTCCAGAACACAGTCATCGGCCTCCAGTATACGAATATCGTATTCTAAGCAAACGTAGTTTATATAAAAGCATACTCAACCACATTACATCATAAGATGAAAAAAGAGTATTATGTATGATCAAGCCAAAAGTGGCTGTAAAGAGGGTGAATAGACTGTGAATAATAAACTGAAAACATGCTAAGAATAATCAAACATACAACTATTAATATTTGTTTGAACAAATAAACATTGGTACAAGGAGGCGCCAAATATATATGCGCCACATAAATCATTTGATGTGTGTGACTGCTGTGATACTGTTCGGGTGCCCAAACCAAGGCAGGTAGTTATCTTAGGGAGTCTCACACCCGGAGCCTTTGACCTAAATGTCTGGTCCATAAGGTAGTGTAGCAACGTCAGGAAATGTAGTCCCATGGTAACCGGTAATCAATAATTAGTTCGTACGCCATTTGTTCCCTCAGAATATTGGAGCCCATGTTCACCATTGGTTTGGGATGAGGGATGTCCACCCCCCAGGTTGATCCTCTATATCTACTATCCCTGTTAAGGGGTTGGATATCCGCTTTTCATCCATTCAATTTTGTAAAAAATACCCCCGCCGCGAAAAGTCAGTGAGTAGGATGTTCCTGGCAGTGGCTGTAGGCGCGTGGCCGTGTGAGATCATTTCGAGAAGGCGAGCTGACTCTCCCCACTCTCGGCCGTACCAGGGCATTTGGGGTGTTATCCACGCTCAGTGACCACTCATATATCACATTCACTACCACATATTATTGATACTATGGTAAAGAAATCAATAATAAGATAGATATATTAGTTTCTGATAGATGTTTATCTCTTAAAATGTATGAAACTCTTTAAAAAATAATTACTTATTTACATAGATGGATGAAATGACTAGCAGTAGAATGTAGGATGCGCGTTCCATTCTACTTCGGACTCATCAGTTGGATGTACCTTCATGCATTACAGATTTGATGTTCACTCTTCGAATTATATTTAATGTTTCTTCTTAAAATGATTTGGTGTATGATCACTGAACATGGACGGATAGACAGTCAACTACTATTTTGATTTGTTCTCTATACTCATTGAGTGTAATTGTATGGAATAAAGTACGCCCTAGATTGTAAAATACTTTAGTTTTTATATTTGACCGTGAATAGTGTATTTAGTATAAAGTGATCCCAGTCTGCCCATGTCTTATCAATGGAATGTCTTGTTTAATGATAGTAAAATCCTGTTTATCGATTGTATTGTTACTAATAAGAACTTTCGTCTAAATTTGAACGAATAGTTTCACATACTTTGGGCGGCGAGTTGATGTGAGACATTAGAGATTTAACAAATACATTCTTCCTCTTTAATGTATCGTTATCATACTAAAGTAGTATGTCTTGAGAAAACAGAATGTTTTTTTCATTCGTTATATCAGTAGTAAAAATAATGTCATAATCAGTTAGTGTTCATCTAGTTAGTTTACTAATCTATATTATACTTTATAACAACGAATGTTTCTACTGTAATTCACTGTATAAATTTAGATGCTTGTTAGTACACCAGAAAAATGGGATGTTATCTCACGTAAAGGTACTGGGGATGCCAATTTAGTTAAATTAGTCAAACTACTTATTATTGATGAAGTTCATTTATTACATGAAGAACGTGGTGCTGTTATTGAAGCCTTAGTTGCACGTACTCTTCGACAAGTAAGTTATTATTAATACTATGTAATAATATAGATATACATATCGATAAATCTTTGTTGTTGTTTTACACCACAGAATAATTTTAGTTAAATAAACGTTAGAAACCAGGAAGTTCTGGATAGTTGTTTTGTCCTATTATGACCTTACCAGAAGTGGGATCCAGAATCTTCAGACCCATGGGTAACTTTCAGTGGTTGTCTAACCGAAGTCACTCCATGTTGTTAACCACTGGAGTTCGACGATGTTAGGTGTGGGGCAGTTACCCAATAATTGCTTTAAAAGTTGGTTGCACAGTATCGTGAACTGATTCGTACGGAGTTCTGTTGTGTATTCAAGATCACTATCTACGTCGACGCACGAACCTCCATGGGCAGTTCGATTCAAGAGGTTGCATAAGTCCACGAAGTTCAGGGACTGTCGGACTAAACCGTTTAGGTAGGTGTAAACTATTTGGTTGGGATCTGCGCGATTATCTTACCCAGGACTAGATAATTTTAATGACGTGACTCGTTCTCGGTGACGCAAATGCATTCAATCTTTGTATTTCCTGCGCCTTTTAGTTCAAAAACTACCCTATCAAATTCTTTTTTATTAAGTTCATATTTTCAAATCATATCTTCGATGGCGAAATTCTTTATTGCCACTAATGCCGTCCCTATGTCTACTGTTCTGGGATTATCCCTGTTAATTTTACTTCACTGTGCCAACGGGGTATGGCAACTTGAAATGATGAGTTCGTTTACTAAGTTTTACGTTGTTCTGACTAACTTATCCACAAATTGATTGAAATTCGACATTTAGAGCACTGAACACTGGCTCTGCAATCTGAAAGTTAAGTCCTCTCCGTAGAACCCACAAATCCTGAGTTCGATCCTCAGTTAATATTTATTTATTTGAACACATGAATATTGGTACAAGAGAGCGCCAATATATATGCGCCACACAAAACAATGAGAATTCGAAGAGAAGTAGAAAAAAAAACTAAGGAGCGCAAAAGAAAAAAAGAACAATGACGAAGAGATTGGAGTAAGGTAGTGCGGTAGTAACGAGGGGACGAAAAGGTACAATCAGAAGAAATCTTTCAGGTAAAGGAGACACAACCACTTTTTATGAAGAAAGTAAAAGAAGGTTACAGCAGGATCGCCACTGGCTTCTATTCTGAGCCATATCTGATAACGTCTCTAGCCACTGTGTAGCACCATCTCTCAGACCCCCAACCAGGGAGTCGTGAAGGACCAACAGAAGCCAGTCCTTTGGAGCTTTCTTTCATACCACGACACCATGTCATGCACTGACCACCTCTCCGCTTCTTCCAACCAGTCCCAGAGTCGGCAAATAATGCACGATGTGGAATTCTCTGGGACGACATTCGGAGAACATATCCAAGCCACCGAAGTC